ATATATATATATAGGTAGGCACCCGGAAAAAAGTTTCAAGAGAAACGTATTGTATATTACCTATATACGATTAAGTGTCTGTGGGAAGACGACCACCGAAGCGAACGTATCAATTTGCAGGGAGGCGCATCGCGCGCACAAACGATATAATATACATTATACATTGTAATATATCCACGCGGTACAAGCACTCTCGGCGTGACATCTCGCGATATAGATCCTTATTTTTGGTGTCTCCCCTTGGTTACCCTCTTTTTTTTTTTTTTTTTTTTTCGCGGGTCCACATCCCATGGACCTCTGCATTTGTATTTGAAAACAACGACAATGCAGGCAGTGAGCCTCGATTACAAAAGAGAAACACGTATACGTACATACATATATGTATAAGGAAGGCGAATCAGGTGGAACGGCCCGTCCGCGGGGGGTTGCCCCGAGAACCTGGTTCTCCCTCTCGTGAGGCATGTCGACTTGATTTCCTTTTTGTCGTGTACCTTCCGTCGTTTGGCTTTCTCCTCTTTCTCACGTCCGGATGGGATTTCAGCTCTCCGGCTTGGCGAATTTTTTTTGCCTCTCTCTCTCTCGCTTTGCTAGTCCAAACGAATCCACTCGAAACCCGACTTGGGAAAAGCTACGTGTAGGTACTGCGCGTGAAAAGAACTTCTAATTAAGTTCGAGGGGAAAAAGAAAAAAGAAAAAAAAAAAAAAAACAGCCGCGCGCGAGAATCGGCGGGTTTTTTCACACGCGCGTGTGACTGAAAATTGCAGGCTGTGGGGAAAAATTAGTCCCAATTTGCGGGAAGGACAAACTCTGTTTTTTTTTTTTTTTTTTTTTTTTTTTTCTTTCGGCACGCGCGCGAGAGAAGGTAGCCCCTTTGGAATTTTCGCGAAATGACGTGTAATGATGGGTGTGTGCAGAGAGAGGAAAGGAGGTGCCAAGACGCGATGGTGTCAGCGTGTCATTATCCCCATATTTTGTCATTATACCTGTACACGCATGCAACGCGACTTTGGATCATCAAAGAAGAGGCTTATATTCGGTGCGCATTGTCGTTTCCTCCTCTCGCGCTTCTCGGCTCGCCGGCAATAAATACGTCACTTGGCGTTATTACCGTCATTATCACCGCTGTTCGGCTGGCTACAGCTCGCTCTGCTGTGTGTGCGAGTTGCATGCGATTACGACAGCTCGGTTTTCTTGGGACGCGTGAAAAGCCGAGGCAGCACCACTTATACATTGTGGTATACATATCTTTTGTAATATGCGTCAGAGTTGCGTTTTTGTTCTCTGTACGGGTGTACGTATGTATCATATAGATTTTCCTCGTAATTTTCGGAACAGGGAATAGACGGGTATGTATGTAACAAAACAAAACTTGACATTGTTGGTTGCTCATTACATAATGATGTACCTATACGTAAGTCGCGTATCTTGTGGGTGCGTGTGACGGTGCGTCTAGAGTCTAGTGAAAGAGTCCAGTCGGGCGAAAGTAATTCGTTGTTCCTCTCGCGTGTACTATTTTCAACAATAGGTATACTTGGCTGACAGCTACGTAAAGTGAAGACACTGTTTTCTCCCAAGATAAGCCTTGGAAAAAAAAGGAACGTAACAAGTTACTAAAAAAAAATTTTCAACACCGCGATTACGCGCAAGGAAATGTCAAAGCTACGCTATACGTATACCTAATACCTGCTCTACTCTACAATAGTATACAACGTCGCTGTTCGACGTCACGCGAACTCTTAATCAACTCGTATATAGGTGTAATATATATATACTGTACGTATAGTCACATGCAGTGGTGCACCTATATATGTATAAATGTTTCTCAACACCTGTATGCTCCTCGTAGCCTGTAATGTGAGCACATGGTAGTAAAGTAAGAGTAAGGTGTGCACTATGTGCACTCTTTGAGATATAATTTTCAATTTGCTTACGTAAGTCTATACGTTTTTTTTTCCTCCTCCGTTTGGAGGTGTACAAGTTTTCAAAATTTCCTTATGAGTATAGACAAAATACATTTCAGTGCTCACTTCACACTTGCTACATGGTTATATCTTCCAATATATTTTCTTGCAAAGTACAGCTTTGTATGAATTTCAATAGAGCTCAATTGAAATACACGAACCTTATGTCTTGTGTGCTATGAATACGAGCATCGACAAGTAAAGTCATTAGTATACATAATGGCATTGTAGAGCTTCAAGCGTTTGGTCGATGTTTTTTTCTTTTTTTTCTCGTGTACAACGCATTCTTGGACTTTTATCATTCCTCTAAAGAGGTAAAATTAAAATCGCCAAAACCATGATAATTTCCATAAATTGTACAAATAATTGTATTGCGTTTCTGTATGGATGTATACATTTAGGGTTTACTCCTCACTTTTTCAAAGTTGCACCACCAAGCGAACAAAATAGTGCACGTGTAGTACAACGCAACCCACACACATGTAATGCAACACACCTACCCGCGAATACTATTGCGTTTGATGCTGCACGTGAGTTGCGCGCCCGTAATTATAACAGGCGACGACAACACCTGCCGGCAACACGCAACTCGAAACACACAACATAATATATATCACATACTATATTATACACTCGTCGTAGTTGGACAAAGACAAGGTGGACTGACGAGCGCTTTAACCTTCTTGCGTCTAGGTGTATAAATGTAATTGGCCCGCGTATCGTGCACCCGATTCGTCATATTCCGTGATCGACCGATGGATTCGCCGACAATTAATCGCTCGACAGCGATCGCCCGCATTGGTGCGCTGTGCTAGATTTATACGTTCGACGAGACGCGGCGCGGCCTCCCTTTAGAATGGAGGAAGGGGGGGTGGAAAAAAAATAAACGGTTCAACTCCGATGAGGATGTGACAAAAGGTGCATTTGGAGTTGGGGATGGCTGGCGAAGCCAAAGTCTCGCGTACACACACGGAAGGGTGAGGGGGGAGGGGAGGGGAGAATACGAGGTAATACTCGTCACAGGGACCACCCGTCGTCCCAGAACATGATGACGATGAAGCCGCAGAACTGGGTCGCGAGGAAGGTCTGGTAGTGCCGGTTGTTCCACACGAGGGCGCCTATCAGCCCGTGCACGAAGAAAAAAAGGCCAAAGGCCAAGAGCTTGCGGACCAACAGGGACTCGCCGCGGCCGCGTTTTTGGCTGTCCAGGCGCTTCCGCAGTCGCTCGACGAAGCTCAGGTCTTCGGGAGTGAGGGCCGCCGGAGTGGTTGTCGGGCGTCGACACTCGTCAACGTTGGCCTCGCACGACTTGCAGATCTGCCGGTTCATCGGGTTGCACTTGCCCGGGCACACGCGGCGCTGCTCGTCGCACGGGTGCCTGGCCCTTTGCTCCATCGCTACAGGGGGAGGCTCCTTGTTGACAATGGCTCGTGGTAACCTCGAAATTTCCCTACCGATTCGCCCCTTCTTTCAGCCTTGGATACACAATAGCTACTATATTATGGCGTTACTCGTAATTTTACCTTATAATATATACCTTGGGCTGTCGGGTTTGTCGTGCTCATACTGCCAAATTTAACAAATCCCTCCGCTCCGGTGGCATCCAGCGGAACAGTCAATTTTCGTACCCTCGATCGGAAGTAGGTCGCGAACAAACGAACACCAAACACCTTTTATAATTATATAAATATTGTACACCTATATATATATATATATATATTTGTGAAGAAAAAACAAAAAATAAAGATAACGATATGATTTGGCAGGCGGATGTTCCCGACGTGTCGGGTGTCGTTCAGCGGCCTAAAGAACGACAGCCAGTACGCGGTGCTGATGGACATTGTGCCGGTGGACAACAAGCGCTACCGGTACGCCTACCACAAGAGCTCGTGGCTCGTGGCCGGCAAGGCCGATCCACCGGCCCCGGCGAGGCTCTACGTGCACCCCGACTCGCCCTTCAAGGGCGAACAGCTCAGGAAGCAAGTCGTCTCCTTCGAGAAGGTCAAGCTCACCAACAACGAGATGGACAAGCAGGGACAGGTATGTTGTGTACGCCTCTTTCTTTTTCTTTTTTTTTTCCTTTCATTTGCCGATGACGCATCAGCGTGAGTCTCGAAAATGCATCAGATAATATACACGCCGCGGAGTGCACTGCGACTATATAAATATATAATATAATATATACATCTGTTTGGGAGCTCGCGGGTGCTTGTTTTTGGATATTGGCTGTCGATTTTTTTTAAGTGCGGTGCAGGCTGATCGTATTAGATTTTGAGGAAAGTACAATAGCTCCTACTCCTCGTGCTCGTTAATTTCCGCCGAGTCACTCCCTAATAGAGTTCCATGGGAGCCAGGATGGGGTGTAGGAGCGTTGAAAAATTGGTTTTTCTCTTTCCTGTGCGTCATCAGCTTGAAACTCGTGCTTTTTTTTGGGGAGCCTTGGGCGTGCCTGTGACACACTTTTCCGAAAATCGGGTCCTGGATTCCGGCTAGGTCAGGCCCGCGAGGACAAGGACACCCGTACGGAAGAAACAAAGAAAGAAAACAACGCGCATTCTTTCGTCCGATGCCGCAAAACGCGGGCGCGCGTGGAAGCCCTCCTGCGTTATATACACGTTGCACACTTTCGGCCCAAGGCTGGTGTCCCGTTGCGCGGCCACGCGTACCCAAGGTCCTTGTGACCGACCGACCGATCGAGTGTAGACTCTTTTTTTTTTTTTTTTTTTTTTGTACGTAGGTAAGAGCTTGCAATTTCATTGAGATCAATTGAAAGTTGGCGTTTTAATTTAAGTGCAATCATATGNGACGACTACTTATGTTTTTCCAATCAATGAAAATTTCATCATTCACACTCTTGCCACTACACGTCCTATTAGAGGGAAAAAAAAAAAAAAAAAAAAAAACATTTTTAAAATTAAAAATATCGCTTTGAATCCATTCAGCTGATGTATACTTCTTCGATGGTGCCGGAGCATACAGGGTATATATAAGTATACATACATATAGGCGTACGCTTGTCCCCCCCCTGAGCGGGGGGGCCCTTTGTCATGCTGATGATGCCAAGGCCCACGCCTACATGCTAGACTCTTTTTTTTTTTTTTTTTTTTTTTTCCTGCTACGAAGATCACTAACTACCTCCCCCTGGCCGTGCAATGACAACTGCAGAATTAGACCGGGAAGGCCACGGAAAACGCGCGAGTTTCGTCCTTTTTCCTCCTTTTTTTTGTCGTGCCGTTGTGGCTCACGCGAAGAAGAGAGTCGGTAGTTCCACGTGACGGGTATTAAACGCTCGCCGCGGCACGAGCCGTGTATATACGGTTGACGTGCTGTTGTAGGTGCCAAGGGTCGTATATAGGTGTGTATATGCATGTGGGATCGATGCTTGGCCTTCCTCCATTGAGGGGAGCTCCAGAGGCCATTATTGTGCCCCGTTGGTTATTGTGCTCTGATTGCCGGTTAGGTTCTTTTTTTTTCCCGGTACAGTTCCTGATGTCTTTCCGTTTAATTTTGTCACGGGACGCGTTCGGGGAACGCGTGGACTACTTTTTTTTTTTTTAATGAAACGAGGGAGGTGAACAAAAAGCATTGAGGAGACATTGGAGGTCGTTTTCTCTTTTGATTGACAAAAAAAAAAAAAAAAAAAAAGAAGAATAAGGCAATTGCGAGGGTGTTCGCGCATCAATTTCCACCTGATGCTAATGAAAGAATGAAACAGATACAGGCGAGACTTACCGCACGAGATAAACTACTAAACTGGACCGATGACTAAGCAATATGTTCGTGCACTTACTTAAACTTAAACACATGGGAGATGGAGGAACGAAAAAGCACTCTCGTGCCTCTATTATAAATATATCACAAGCGAGAAAACGCCGGTTACAGTGCCATTACGATGTCGTTTCCATACATCATTTCTTTGCTACTTTGATTTAACGCGAGTGATAAGCTTATAGTCGCCGGTGGTCAGTGAACTGATTATACCATAGTATTGTATACGTATGCATATGTTTGCCTATACTTTTAGATAAACGACGACGATTTAGAATTTAAAAAAAAATCAACTTTATCGTATCGACAAGATTGTAACAGATGAACTGCCACTTTATAGGGGTAAGTGTACCTATCTCCGTGCTCTGCCCTATTACCGTGGATTTTGAAAAACTGATGATTACTTGCTCAAAATAAGAAATGTTTCATATAAAATAATTTTTCAATTTTAATAATCTAAAATGACGTTAATGTAGATGCAATTCAAACAGAAATATTTGTGTATATTTTGAGTAAATAATTATTTTCCACGGTATTCGGTACAACGCGCTCATTAACTGATTGTGTACGTATTTCCGCGGTGAGCGTACGTAAACATAACCCTATACATCCGCGGTAATACGTACACGGTAATAGGTACACAACCACGGTAATACCAGCATACCGTTTTTATTCGTTTTAAAAATATTCTACTGCAGTTTTAGCTTCATAAAATTTTTTTTAATATTCCGTAAGAGATTATGTAAGATTTAAAAAAAAAGTATTCCAAAAAATTTTAGTATAACATTTTTTATGGTGCATTTAAGTTGGAATTTTCAGTACGTGCCACGGAGATAGGTACACTTACCCCTACATAGAGACAACAATAAATAGGAAAAATTTCAAACTTTCAACGACACAGCATGTATAAGATGGTGGAGTTCACTGGAGGCAATAAAAAAAATGTATGTACGTACATACATACCCTGTTTCGTGTATATCTATATATAGACGCCTCACACGTATTTCCAATTATGATTATTCGCGCTTCGCGTGCGATAATCGTCCATTAAACAAGTGGGTACACCTTTACAGGTATGTATAACCACGAGCATGTATAGCGCACAGTGACGCCTGTAATCCCCGGGAGTTTACTGCCGCGCCAACTTAACGACAATTAAAACGACAATGAGTCTCTTCTTCCTGCCTCCGGGGCTCTCGTGCTCAACTCCGACCAGTAGTAAAAAAAAAAAAAAAGGAAAAAACGGCTTATCGCGATGTAGGAGGTATTGGGATTCCAAAAGGTCACGTGACTCTCGCGGTATCTATAGTCACTTGGGGGAAAAATAACACAGGCCTTGTTGGTGCAATTATATTTTTGTTTTTTTTTACACGTTCAACGATTGTAGTACGATAAAAGCCTTTCAATAACATATTTTTGAGGAGATGACAATACCTTAACTATTTTTTTCCAACTCAATTAGTCTTTTGCAGCTTAAAACTTTCCTTCGAAAGTGCAAAAACGCACATTTAACCTTACCAAAATGCTGTTTGTTTTCCTATTATGTAGTCGGGAACGGGAGAACTTTGTACAGGTTAAATGTGCGTTTTCGCACTTTCAAAGATAAGTTTTAAGCTGAAAAAGACTAATTGAGTTGGAAAAAAATAGATAAGGTATTTTTATCTCCTCAAAAATATGTTATTGAAAGGCTTTTATCGCACTACAATCGTTGAACGTGTAAAAAAAATAAAAATATAATTGCACCAACAAGGCCTGTGTTATTTTTCCCCCAAGTGACTATATAATATATCGCGAGAGTCACGTGACCTTTTGGAATCCCAATATAAGAAGTTGGACGGAGAGGAGGTGGGAGGGGCGCGCGATATAACGTCGACTTTACGAGAGAAAAGTGTACAGGTACGTTTATGTACCCGTTCGCGTATGTAAACGCTCTCGCGAGAGAGAGATAGAGAGGGGGGGAGGGACTCCAGGGAGCAAGGGTGTTCACGCTAAGCCGATCCGGTAGGTCTCTCACAACCTATATGCGTTTATACACTCGCACACCCAAGGTAAGTATACCTATACTTGTGGTATAAGTGTACACATATACCTATGTATACACGGTGTCGCGGGAGCAGAAGCAACAACTCGCGAAAGAACGTGCCTATCTCCTCGTAATAAGCCAATAAATTGAATGGGCCCCTGCCCGTCCGCGCGCCCGGAGCATACAGGGTATATATAAGTATACATACATATAGGCGTACGCTTGTCCCCCCCCTGAGCGGGGGGGCCCTTTGTCATGCTGATGACGCCAAGGCCCACGCCTACATGCGTGTTCCTTCGCACCCATAAAATATACATATATATACCTACACGCACGTATAATTATATTGTATACGTTGTAAGCCTGCCTACTGCATAGGTATCCAAAAGATCCCGTATAAGCACTCCCATATTATATCCATATACGCAATGGCCATGTTGGTGGTAGTATAGGGGGCAGACTTGTCGTTTCTCTGTATATCTATGCGAGTGGAGGTACAGTGCGGGAGGGTTGTCTTGTTTTTCCAAGCGTCGGGTGTATAGATATACATATATATAACTGGCGTGCAATCAGTGCAGGGTCGATGGCAACCGCGTTACGCGAGAGATGATGCGGTAGGTAGGCTGGCCGTGCACTCGTGTGGCTATCGCGATAAGCAGACTTACGTGAGAAACGTGTCGTCTATACTGTATAATATATATATATATATATATATGTATGTATGTGTGTGTGTGTGTGTGTGTGTGTGTGTGTGTGTGTGTGTGTGTGTGT